GGATCCAGTTTTTGTATGGATCCAAGCACATTTCAAGCGGTCTCACTCACAGCAAGGTGATGTTGCCAGTGAAACTGACTGATTTGGCTAGTGGGGGCGGGGTGACAACTGGTGGCGAAGTAAAAGTTGCACCTGCATACGACATGAGTGGGTTGCTATGCACCCACATACTGAGGCAATAGCAAAGTCACACCTTAGTGGATCCAAAATAGAAATCTGATGTCAATTTACTACTCCCAGGCCGTTTTTGACGTCATCACTTTCAAGCCCTATTGTACGACGCCCTGCTATACACCCAATTATATTATTGTTGTTGGTTGACAGCATGAAACAAGGTGCAGGACACCGTGTTCGGAAACAGTCATGGTAGTGACAGTGACTGTTGTCAGAGCTGAGAGAGGCACACCATGAGCAGAAGGAGTTAAAAGGAAAACGATTCAGGTTAAAATAGTACTATTTTTATGACTATCAAAAAGACATCCAGGAGCGATCACAGAATACACGACTGACGTTTATAGGAGATGTCTCTAAAAACTCCCCTAGAATAAAGAGGGTCAGAATCGGGTCTAAGACCCATACGATACGGTTCTGTTCAGATGGTCTCAACAGACCAGGGCTCTACCAACCGTGGGGAGTTGTAGTAAGGTCACTGTTTCCGAACACGGTGTCCTCCACCTAAGTCCTTGTTTCATGCTGTCAATCAACAACATGTGTGAACTAAAACAGGGTTTATCTATTGGTTTTGTTTGTTTTCCTCTCTTTCCGTGTCTTTCTGCATGTTTTTGTACAGTCTGTAGTGACTAGTGACTAGTAGTGTAGCCAAGTAATTAGTTAGTGAACGCACAAACCATGAATACTGCCATTACCGGCACTGTTGTCTGTACTCGAGTTCTCGAGTACTCAGGAGTCAGGTACTGGTGGTGGTAGATGGTGCCTTGGTGGCACTAGCACCACTACTAGTACTAGTACTAGTACTGGCACTAGGCACTAGCACTACAGCTCCATAGATCCGGCCCACCCTGGCCTAGCCTGCTGAGTGCTGCGGCCTAGCCTACATGTCATGATGTAGCCTTGTACTTGCAGTATATTGACCTCGTACTCAGTCAATATTAGATACAGAAGAGCTTTCCTTTGAGCGGCTCAATGCATCCGGGAAAGCACAGGGGTTTCCGGCCTTTTGACTTGCATTGTTTGGCTGGTGGCTGCCAGCGAAAGCGAAAGACACGTCGTCTTTCGAGTGCTTCCCGGACGGATTCCACCCCAGAGAAGAATTCACTTCAGTGTTCTCCACAGTCTCCTCCGAGCAGGATTGGCGAATTGCTTGTCGGAAAATCAGTCATCTAGTGCCAAGGAATACGCCGACGTAATTATTAGTCCGGGTGAGTAGCTGATTGTTGCAGGAGCACCATGTCCGCTCCACGAATCAGAACGGTGAAAGTTAGCCTGAAAAGTCCGCGCTCCGGTGGCGAGTCTCGATCGAGCAGCGAAGATGCAAAGGCGACGGCTGACGATAAGAAAAAGCAACGGCGACCGTTGCGCCTCAGGACGTACATCGGCGCAGTGGTGATGTTCATCGTGGTGTTCGTGATCGCAGCGCTAGCCAGCGACTATATTGTCGGCACGTTGAATTCAAGCATGAGGAAAACGAACCCAGCGAGCGAAGCGCAGTCGTCGCGTACTGCCCGTGGCAGACCTGTCGCAGCCTCCGCCGACAACGGTGACGGTGACGGTGAAAAGGTGGTCGATCCTACACTGGAGAAAGTAGAAATCGTGCAGCCCGGGCTTGGTGATGCGATTCTTCCGGGTGCCATGGCCGGTGAGATACCGGGACCGGAGATCGCAGACCCATACAGTGATAGCGAAGAAGACAGCAGCGACTTACCTAGTGCCAGTAGTAGTGGCTCTGCGAGTGAAACTGATCCTGAGGAGTTTTGCACCACAGAAAAGTGCGATGCAGCGGAGCAGCATGAAAACACGGCACCGAGGCCATCGCTGTTTGGCGTGGACGTTGGTAGTGGTGTGGACCAATGGCGTAAAGAAGGCAGTCTGGATATCCTGGAGGAAAAGATCGGCGTGAAGTTCCCCGAACACCACCGCTCACTAAACAACGCTGACGTGTCGAAATGTCCGTTTGCCCGCGGGCATTTCAAGTCACGTGAGACCATCTACCTGATCGACGTGAATACGGAGGCGTACAAGAACCGGGTTCACCCAGACAACCTCACGGCCGTTGACTCTCTCGTGGAGGAACGAGTGCAGCCCAGCGTGCCACGCATCCCGCTCAGGAGCGGACATGAAAGTAAGATGATTGATCAGCATAAAAATCTCAGATTTTGAGTTTTTTGCACTCCATACATAATTATATTTTCGTTATTTTATTGGTTTGGTGAGACTCCCATGATAGGTATCCATTTACCTCTGGAGAATCCGTAAATAAACAAACTGAAAAAAACTGCATGATATGCGAGCACGGGTGAAACAACTAAGCAGGGATAGTGTAGCAGAGACTAACAACTAGGCAGGGATAGGGATTTTTTCTAGTCAGGATACCGGTAGGGTGCCATATGGCCCATACTGGTACAGGTCCTCCCTCGTTAGTAGATAATCTCTGGGTCATCAAATATGGGTCATCAAATATTTATAAGTTATCTTATATATAATGAGACTAATCTTGTAGAAAGGAAAAGGACATATGGAAACGAGTTAAGAGTAACTCTCCACCACTGGCTCAATTGGCTCAATACCCGAGTTTCAAACTAATCTTGTAGCAGGACTTTCAACTAAAGATACAAGACGCACTGATTCGTACGTATATGGGGTACCCTTAATACAACATAAATCAACAACGCTTCAACTCGTTATAAGATAATTGAAAATCTCCAACACAGCTGTGCCTTGGATCGTCCATATGTACGAACGCATGGATGGAATACGTTGTGTCTTTCTTCTTCATCCTATGTATTTTGGCCTTGGTTGTGCATGGTCAGCATTATTATACTAAGGAGTTTGGCACTCCAGGGACGGGGCAAAGGGTCGTTATAACGAATTTTATGTGCTAAAGAATTATGTTGTAACCGGACCTGTAAACAGTTGTATAGGCCACGTTTCGCCAGGGGATTTCAGATTTCTATTTATTGGCGTGGTTTATGTACTAACCGGACTCGTTAAAATGAAGGTGGACCTGAACCTAAGTTTGAAAAACACCCGACTTCTTTCGGACAATGGAGAGCCAAAATACTGAATTTTCCCCATCGAATCCCATGCGAAGTATATCTCTCTGACGTCATAAATATGGTCCGAGGAAGGTGAGACGCTCCCTTTCTCCTTTATTCTCAATCGAACTCGCGCACTTCCACCGAAACTGGGTGACTGCGCCCTACGAGATGGGTATTTGTATGCAAAATGTCACTACAACCGCCGTTTCGTTCTTACTGAAGTATGAAAGCACGGATGACCGCAATTGGTCCCTATGTTGCAGTCTTTTGGACGCTGAGTCGACTGGTTTTGTTCCGAAAAGGCTGCGATGCAGCGTTCAGCCCGTATTCCCAATCAAATACGGGTGAGTAAGCGGCCACATGCTCATGCGTACACACCAGTCACCTGGTCATTGTGCTCGCAGGCTACAACTCTTATAGCGTTCCTGTCACTCGAGTTGAACCTTTGAACCTTTGAGTTAAACCTTGTTGTGAAAGTCGTAACCTGCAGGCCACGTAAGGCAGGCAGCGTAACCCGTCAGTGACGGGTTACGCTGGTTCTCGATTGTCCACCTGTGGTAGTGTGCGAACAACGTCTCCGGTAACTTCCGCATTAGCATGTTGTAGAACATTCTGGCACCGAGTTCAGCATATTGATCAGTATCTTGAAGGTGCACGACTGCCACCTCCAGCAAGTCGGTAAACCTTTGCAACTGCCTTCTCACTACGCATTTGTTTCATCAAATCGACATTGGTGGGTGCACTACCCAAGTCGACTGTTGTTGCCTCCATTGCTTGACAAGCACTGATGGTGTCAAAACCCACAGCTGAAAACCCGACATGCTTTTTGGGTCGGATTTCATAAAGCTTTACTACAAACTTGATTTGTTTGGGTGTGATTTTAATACGTGACTTGGTCTTTCTGTACGGTCACGTTGTCTCGTGATATAACATGCTGTTTTGATCTCTCTCTCTCTCTCTCTCTCTCTCTCTCTCTCTCTCTCTCTCTCTCTCTCTCTCTCTCTCTCTCTCTCTCTCTCTCTCTCTCTCTCTCTCTCTCTCTCTCTCTCTCTCTCTCTCTCTCTCTCTCTCTGCCTATCTATCTATCTATCTATCTATCTGTCTGTCTGCATGTATGTCTGTCTGTCTGTCTATCTACACACCCTGCTCCAGTGCCCGTACTTGGACTCGGCACTCACAACGTTGCCACACGACACGGAGTGGCCATCATGAAGTCTGCACTCAGCCTGGGCTACAGGTAGGGGTGAAACGAGTCTATTGAGTACTCGAGCGCTCGCTCGAAAATTTGAGACGAGCGAGTACTGATTTTGCAAACTACTCAAAGTGTCCTATGTACAATGTACTGTATGCATGTACATCGGTACTGATAGCCCATGGAAGCGCGATATCATTGCTTGTCCCTTCTTACCAGCAAAAGACAGCAGTTCAGACTATTTCCTATACTAGGCTGCATGCAAGGCTACATGTGTATCAGGTGTAGTACGTTCGGTGTTGCGAGAGTGTGTGCAGTACATTGTTTTATGTTGTCAGTAAAATATTCGTACTCTCTCGAATACTTGCTCGCTGCTTCAAAGAGTACTCGAGTCCTCAATTCTGGCACTCGTTTTGCCCCTAGTTACAGGCGAGCAACATGTACGGATTTGTAGGAAAGAGGTTCCATGCAGTAAACTGACCCAAGACCTGCGGTCATCAGTGCAGCCATTACACAGAGTACGGGTAAAATGCATGCAAGATCGGGTAACTCGGGTGTGTGTGTGTGGGGGGGGGGGTGCGTGCGTGCGTGTG